ATCGTGCATAAAGTAGCAATCTTCTAGAATTTGTTGAGGTAATTCATCAAATGCCTCTGTAAGGTCATTTTGTAAAAAATGTATGTAGGCATCGGCTGTCAATCTCTTTGGAAGAAAAAATGGACCTAATAACTGATCACCTATAACTCCAGCCCATACATTAACACTGAATCGCCACTGATGATGAGTTTCTAGTATTGCATGGGGATTTTCATCGCTCCAAACGTGCGCATTATGAATATTAAAAATTCCGCTTTGAGTAAATGTTGCTTCATCCGTAAATACAATGTTTATGGGAAAGTCGACGTTTACTACCTCTTCCTATATGGCTCACCTACAAAAAATCTCTCTTTTTTCGCCATCATTTTCTGTTAGAGCTTGAATGGTGTTGTAATGATAAGGATAAAGCAACTGCTCCCTTAAAATGCGGTGAACGGTTGTTTTCTTAATGTTAATGCAGAATTTCTTCTAATGCTGGTTGAGGCCTTTTCATCAACTCTTCTCAAAACTGCTTCTTCTAATTCCACCGGCATTGTGGATATGGTTTGTTACACCATATCCGCCATCTCTTAAAAATGGTTCATTTTCTGACCTATGTTTATTAGGCTTTTTTTGTTTATTTTCGATCATAGAATATGCTGATGCAGTATTGTACAATCGTTGCGGGACACCCTGTATATTAGTTATCTTCAGCCCAAAAAAAGGTGGTTCCAAAAATATCTTGCCAAAATTCAAACTAGAGTAATCAAAAACATATTTTGTCTATTATCGTTTTGATTTCATCGAGGTTGATGGCTGGAGGTGAAGAATTTGTTCTGGAAATAAACCCTGCTGGAATAAGATACTTCGTTCTTTCTGCTCACCTCCCATATTATCTCCTTCANGTATGAAAAGATTCATGTCATAATTTGTTTTACTGTGCCAAATGCATTACTAATTTTATTTTTCAAATCCTGCACAATTTGAACGTCTTCAGAATAAACAATTTGTTTTAAATGTCAACAAAACCAAAAATCTAACGGATTTAAATATGGTGAACGAGGTGGCCCTCCTCGGCCAATCCACTTATTGCCAAATCTGTTATTTAAGTATGCTCGAATAGCGCGTGCATAATCGTGCATAAAGTAGCAATCTTCTAGAATTTGTTGAGATAATTCATCAAATGCCTCTGTAAGGTCATTTTGTAAAAAATGTATGTAGGCATTGGCTGTCAATCTCTTTGGAAGAAAGAATGATGAGCCACTGATGATGAGTTTCTAGTATTGCATGGGGATTTTCATCATTCCAAACATGCGCATTATGAATATTAAAAATTCCGCTTTAAGTNAGTCACTTTAAACGCAGACGGGAAAGTGGTTTATTCCTCGGATAGTTTACCAAGAAGGAAAGGATCGAGTACCTTCGAGCCTGGCCCGTTTGTGAAAGACTCAAAAAGTCCAACTCCGAGTCCGATTCCGGATCATCGCAACATCAACATCCGCCCGGTTAATCGGCCAATGTCGCCGCAATTAGGTAAAGTCATCATTCGTGCGAGTTCCGGAATGCAAAACTCCCCAACCTCAGAAATAATCCGCATGCAACCTAGTACCGTAGTTACACCCAACCAAAGTTACCCACACAAATCAACATCAACATCAACATTCCCCGGATTAACGCGTAGCGGAGCTTACGTGCATATGTTGGATCAAAAAGAGTCCAATTTCCAAGGTAAGATAACATTAACATCAAATAATCTCATCCAAAACGAAAAAAATAATTTAAATCATAATAATAATAATAATAAATTGTTGACGCGCCGTGAAAGTTATAAATTGGCAAACTACCAACCGCTGCCGAAGAAAGTTTCGAATTTGGATAAGGGGAAATTGGCGATCGAAGATCGTATTGAAAAGGAAATCGCGGCAGAGCTTTGGCGCGAAAGGATCAATTATCCGGCGACGGTGTCGCCAAAGCTTTGCGAAAGACCCTGTCACGTGTACAGCGCTACGCACGCGCGCGAGCTTCTCATCGCTTCGCCCCCTACCAAAAGGGTCACCGTGCTCAACGAGAACGGGGTCGAAGCGAAAGCTCGTGTTTTATCCGTGTGCGGGAGTGATACCGAAATTTGGTGATGTAAACAATTAATTGGCTTTAAAATTTTATTAAAATGATTTTTTCAAAATCATTTGAGGTGAGAATCATTTTCTTATTCGGAATGAATTCATTCTTGAGATGTGGTGATTCATTTTTATATGATCATCTTAAATAATCATTAAGTATAATACCAAAATGCTAAAATTTCTTAAACATTAACATTTTTAGATCTAAACACTTCATTCTCAATAGGTAATCTTTCAAAATTACGTTACCCCAACTTAACTTATCGAGTTATGTTGTCATGGAAATAGAAATGTTAAAATCTAAGACATTTTTGAGTAGTTATGAGTTATGAATCAAATGAAAAATTTTTTGGATATAAAGTAGTCATCTTCAGCCAAAAAAAGGTGGTTCCAAACTCTAGAAGTAATCAAAAACATATTTTGTCTATTATCGTTTTGATTTCATCGAGGTTGATGGCTGGAGGTGAAGAATTTGTTCTGGAAACAAACCCTGCTGGAATAAGATATTTCGTTCTTTCTGCTCACCTCTCATATTATCTCCTTCAGTTTGTCTTGTCAGTTTATGATCAAATATCTTCAAGTCTCTGTATCGGCTATGGAGAACACGCATTAAAGATGACAGGTTTAATGGAAATAGTTGCAAAAAATCAATGATAGATGCATAACCTGGATTATCCTCAAAAAGTAAAAAAGAGTGCATTTTCAAAAATCATAGCTCTGTAGCTCTGCGGTTACAAATTTCCAAATTATTTTCTGCCAAGGTACCAACTGTTTTGCAACTTGATCCTCAACCTTTTAAAAATTATGTAATCATTTTAAAATGTTTATACATGGAATTGAGATCCCACCAAGTAACAAAACCCAATCCAACTCGGATAATAGAGCTAACAGGTCTTTATGTACTACATAATACTTTGCGTTCTTGTTTTATAATGATTTACTTAATGATTTGTTCATGTTGAAGTTGGGTTATACACTACTCTCCAAAATTATCGCACCACCTAAATTATGCATTAAGTTTAAAGGTATTTTTTTTTTGAATCAACGGATGGATTTTGATGATTCTTTCTTCACGGTATAGGTTGATTTTTAAGGAAGAAATGTGTTGATGGTTTCTGACAATTGTCAACGTTTTACCCATATACGGGGTGTAAAAAGAAATTTATGTTTTTTCTTCTAATTTTGCAACACCCTGTGGAATTTATCAGAAAGAACCGCTACATTCCATTTACATTACGTTAGAATGGCAACCCTTCTCTACATTTTCGTTCAAGAATCATCTCGATATCTCTTTTATCAAGGAAGATACACATTTTTTAAGTTTGACTTAATTTTGTTGAAATATAGTCCTTACTAATGAAACAAGCAGGCTATGAAATATCAAACAGTTTGACAGAAATGCTTGTCAATTTTATTTACGCATTTAGCAAGTTGCTGCTTTGGGTTATTAAGTGTTTATTTGACATGGACCGTATTTCAAGACATTTAAACCGCGATGAGTGTGTTGAGGCAGTTACTTTAGCCAATGAAGGAATAAGTTATCGTGAAATAGGCTTGAGATTAGGAGTTTCTCATACAACAATATCACGTGCCGTTCAACGATTTCAAGAGACAAATGATCATACAAGACGACCTGGACAAGGAAGAAGGAGAGTCACAACACTACGCCAAGATCGTTTTATTAGACTTCGTGCTTTAAGGGAACGTTTTGTTACAATGAGAAACTTACAGATACAAGTAGCAGATGTTCATAATATTCGAATTAGTACTAACACTGTACAAAGGCGTCTCGCCGAAGGTGATTTGCATGCAAGGATTCCTGCCAGAGCACCAAATTTAAACGCAAATCATCGTAGAAGGAGATTGCAATTTGCCAGAGAACATCTTGACTGGAATGCTGATGACTGGGAACAAGTACTGTTCACAGATGAATCAAGGTTTTGTTTATACAGCTCAGATAGACGTTTAAGAGTAATTCGACGGCCCAATGAACGCTATGCACAGTGCAACATACGACCGACAACTTTATTTAATGGAGGATCTGTAATGGTTTGGGGTGGAATTTCGCTTACAGCACGAACAGACCTTGTTTCTTTGCGAAGAGGTTCATTAACAGGTGAAAGGTATATTACAGACATTTTATCGGAACACGTGGTACCCTTTGCTCCTTACATAGGAAATAATTTTTTATTAATGCATGATAATGCAAGACCTCATGTTGCCTATACGGTCCGTGACTATTTGGATGAAGTTGGTATACAAACCATGGACTGGCCACCCTGTAGCCCTGATCTCAATCCAATAGAGAATTTATGGGATAATATTGATCGTCAGTTAAGGGGCCGACATCCACCACCTATCGTTTTGGACGACGTTGAGAGGATGGTAAGAGAGGTTTGGGAGGCAATTGATCAAGACCAAATTCGACGCTTGATCGCTGTGAAGAAGTGGTGATTTTGAGAGAATTGATTAAGGATTATGTAGTGTTTTTTAGTTTTCACCTACTTGTTTAAAATGTTAATAAAAATTCGTTACATTTAAACTTGTGTATCTTCCTTGATAAAAGAGATATCGAGATGACCATTCTAACGTAATATAAATGGAATGTAGCGGTTCTTTCTAATAAATTCCACAGGGTGTTGCAAAATTAGAAGAAAAAACATAAATTTCTTTTTACATCCCGTATATGGGTAAAACGTTGACAATTGTCAGAAACCATCAACACATTTCTTCCTTAAAAATCAACCTATATCGTGAAGAAAGAATCATCAAAATCCATCCGTTGATTCAAAATAAAACCTTTAAACTTAATGCATAATTTTGGTGGTGCGATAATTTTGGAGAGTAGTGTATATGGGTTTTTTTTTTGGGTTAAGCGACCTTGGCGGTTTGAGGGTAAATATCTTCTTATAAGAGACTTATCTTTATCAATATAAATATCATTTATTTGATATCTTGGAAAGTGAACTAAACGTACAGCACTTGTATATGAAATCGTTTATACAGGGTGTTTTAAAACAACGTTTAAATATTTATAGGGCTAGTGCTACAGTAGAAAACAAGTTGAAATGTGTTAATCAACATGGGTCCGAAAATCAACCGTTTTCGCGATACAGGATGTTCAAATTTTTTGGGACTCTACGTTTTTTCTTGTAAACTGTAACTACTACAGGTTTGATAATTGGCAAATCGATACAATATGAAACTGTCTCTTTTTGAGACTAGTATGATGTTTCCATTGCTTCCAGTTAGTATAAGTTATTCCATTACAAAACGTTATGCCATTAGTTACCAAAATTGAATTTAGTTGAAAAATACTGGTATTTATTTTCACTTCCGGTCTAACCGGAAGCAATGGAATCATCATACTATTCCCAAAAAGAGACAGTTTTATACTGTATCGATTTGCCAAGTATCAAATCTGTAGTAGTTATAGTTTAAAAGAAAAAAACGTAGAGTCCCAAAAAATTTCTCTGACTGTAGTACTACCCCTATAAATATTTAAACGTTGTTTTAAAACACCCTGTATACATTTACAGCACTTGTACAGTGTGTTCATTAATTGTCCGCGTTATACATCACTTGACTAAGCGACATTTTATCGCTTTTAGAGATTTTCATGCTGTCTGGTAAGTAAAGGTGTAACTTATCTTAGAAAAAAATGCAGAATACCGAAAGACCTAAAATACTATTTGTTTTAAAGGATAAAGCTAAGCACCAATCACGTTGTACGATTTCAAGTCCGATTTGGATCATACGTCTAAGAACCGACTTAGATACGACACTTAGATACACCAAGAAATTCTATAATAGAAAAAATAGATGAACCTACAATTTCGCGTCAGTGTCGTTTCCTAGATGTTAGTATAATATTAAAAGTTTATGTCTTTTATTTTATATAGAATGTAAGTCTCACTAGTTTTGACTCTTGGCCATCTTCAGGGACTCTACAAATAGATTAACATCTCTCATCTTATCCATTTTACAAACTAGAACTAAAAGTAAAATGATTGAATCTTCTGGAAAACATTTCCATTAACTTTTTTCAATACTTTGGTCATTATCAAGTGATATAAAAATGTTTTTCGAAAACTGCTATTAAAAGTTGACTTTTGCGTAGTACTTAGCGACCGTCAAAACGATAGTTTTTTGTCAACAGGACGTAAAAGTCTTTTACGTCCAGGACGCAAAAGACTTTTACGTCCAACTACGACAATCAAAGAATTTGATACTATTAATTGTTAATTTATTGTTATGAACAAATTATAAACACAAAATAATCAACATTTAATTGTTTTATCATTTCATTTCACGTTTAAATGCAAATTTATAATAGTACATTTGTTCAATAAGTGACGTTAAATCGATGTGACGTTAAGTTTTTGACATAACATTAATTGAATTCTAAATGTCATTATACAGAATTTGGTCTTTTTATTAATTTATAACTTTAGAATACGCAGTTTTCGAAAAAATGTTGTTTAATACACGACAGCAAAATTCTTTTGCATTCATTTCGCTATCTTGTATCAAAAATAACTATTTTAATGAATTTAAGGCATTTTGTCACACACCAATTAATTTTTTTTATTTCCTCCTATCTTTAAAACACTTTCAAAAATACTAAAATCTTTTTTTTTTTATTCTTAACGACTTGTTAAGTATTCTAGAGATGTTTGTAGTGGTGTTTGATTATTCTAGAGATGTTTGTAGTGGATTAGAACCATTTTGATTTACGCTAATCAGTTTTTCCAAAATTCTAAAATGCTTGAATCTTCTGGAAAACATTCCCATTAACTTTTTTTAAATTCTTTCGTCATTGTCAAGTGATATAAAAATGTTTTTAATGAATTTAAGGCATTTTGTCACACACCAATTAACATTTTCTATTTCCTCCTATCTTTGAAACACTTTCAAAAATACTAAAATCATTTTTTTCGGAANTTCCCATTAACTTTTTTTAAATTCTTTCGTCATTGTCAAGTGATATAAAAATGTTTTTAATGAATTTAAGGCATTTTGTCACACACCAATTAACATTTTCTATTTCCTCCTATCTTTGAAACACTTTCAAAAATACTAAAATCATTTTTTTCGGAATCTTAACGACTTGTTAAGTATTCTAGAAATGTTTGTAGTGGATTAGAACCATTTTGGTTCACGCTAATCAGTTTTTCCAAAATTCTAACATGCTTGAATCTTCTGGAAAACATTCCCATTAGCTTTTTTTCAATTCTTTCGTCATTGTCAAGTGATATAAAAATCTTATCCATTTTACAAACGACAGCAGTAGCGCTAGTTAGCATAAGATATCACTATGTTGCATATTTTTATTGCACTAAAACTACAACTAACACTAGACCTAGAACTAGAAAGTTTCGGGTGGTTCTAGGTTCTAGGTCTTGGTAGTTCTAGTTTTATACTAGCTCTATCACTGGAACTAACCCAAGACCTAGAATTATTCGTGTTTAGCCGTCTTGAGAGACGTGGGACTAAATCCGAATATTTCTAGTTCTCGGCCTAGTGTTAGTTCTAGTGGCTTAACTTTAAATTTTGACATATTTGTCAACTTCACAAAAAATCCTTTAAAATAAGTCCAAACTCGACATATTTAACTTTAATATTAACGGAAATACAATCACTTCCGGTTTGAAACGTCAACGTCAATTTTGATATATTTGTCATCTTCATAAAAAAATTTTTAAAATGAGTTCAAAGATGACGCACTTATCTCAAAAAACAAAAAAGTTAGAATAAAAAACATTAAACCCGAAGTTAGCAACAATGAAGATAGCAATTTAATTATTAAATGTTAATACCAACCTTAATTTTTAATTTTTTTTATTGTATTTTTATTTTTGTGATATATTTTAAGACAATTTATAAAAATTAAGAATTTGTCAAAATGACATTGACATTTCAAACCGGAAGTTGCTTATATCTCGACTAATATTGGAATTAAACGTATCATGTTTGGGCTCATTTTAAAGGATTTTTCACGACGATTACAAATATGTCAAAATTGACGTTGACATTCTTAACTGGAAGTTAACCATAATTTCTTTAATATTGAAGATAAATATGTCGTGTTTGTACTCATTTTAAAGGATTTTTAATGAAGATTACAAATGTGTCAAAATTGAGGTTGGCATTTTAAATCTGAAGTTAGTTATCATATAATAGGAGTTTTATAACTGAAGTTAATCTAGTGTTAGCACTTTCTTTTCATTTTTAACATGTTTTTTGGATTTTTTGTAAGATGAGAAATGTTAATCTATTTTTAGAGTCTCTGAAGATGGCCAATTAAATTCTGTATAAAATAAAAAGTACAATATAAAACTTGGAGTATTTTTGTATTGCTTCCATGATTCTTCCAAGAACAATATCCAAAGTGACAAATTTTTCTGAAATTTTCTGGAATCTAATTCAACTTTGTTGTATTTTAATTTTATCTATCATTGATTTTGATGGTGTCATTACTTATTAGTTCAAGATTGGTGGAGAAGGTGACTTTATTTGGCTGAAGATAACTTATAACCGAAACTAGTACAAGCAAGATATCCTTAATATCGATTATATCATCCTTTTATCCATCCATTTCATTTTTAATCCACCCGTGTGCTTAATTAATTAATAAATAAGTATTTCAATTACATTTTGTGATAGATAATTCGTCCTTTTTTAATTTTATTACGTTTCTGTGTGTAAATACTGTTACTTCATACTTTGTAAATAAATTTGTAAATAATTATGCATGCTAAATCGATGTAAATAACTGTATCATTATTATTATTATTAAACCTTTTTTTTGCATATTGTACGTCTCGAAACACTTTATTATTATTTTTTTTTATTTTATATCCTCTTTTTTGTATGCTTAGATATATTTTTGTGTTTTGTTGACTTGTTACGAATAAATCTTGTATATCACGCAGCACCTTTTTAATCTTTAATTTTGCGAATGACAAATTAATTTGTTATCAACTGTATATTTTTTTGATTTTGCGCTGACTTACTGACTTGAATCACGATTTTTGCACATCTCTGTAACTAAATTTAAACTTAATTATAGTACGAATGGAAATATTCGCGCAAAACCAAAGAAATTCCGATTGCCTACGAACACAAGCAGGTTTATTTTTGGGGGCAACCCGCGAAGTGTGTAGTACACTTGGACAAAAGAGCCGGTACACTCAAGCGTGCTTTAAAACGGGTCTTAGTCCTTTACACAACACTTCTTGTATGTGCACTGTGTGTTTGTTTTTTTTTTATAATTTTTTAGTACACCAGGTGAGATTTTACCTATTTAAAAATATGCATGCGGGGTTATTTCTTAATATGTAAATGTAAATTGTTGTTTTTTGTTGTGGTGGTGGTGCATGCTTTCTTCTTTTAATTATTGTGTATGTTATATTTAATGAATTTAAGTCTTTTCATTTTAAAATGGAATAGATAGAATACAATTGGCGGCAGGTTGGTTGGTTTGTCCGCGTCGAGATGTTTGTTCTACGGACAACAATAGCTCTTTTCAATATTTACGCGATAACTAAAATAAACTAAAAGAGAAAATAATAATAATAATAATAATAGAGAAGCATGATTTAGAGTTGGATAAAAATGTAAAAACTTAGATAATGTAGAGTTTGACTTAATTCTTTCAAAAATGATTATTAAATCAAAATCATTTTCAGGACATCAACTAACCAATGAGAAAATGATGGAAACGGATCGAAAAGGCCAATACAACACTTTACCATCGAAAAAGGCGTCATATTTGAACGAGCCGGATATAACGAAAGATTTAGGGCGAAAATGTCAACCCAAAAAGCTGGGAATCCCAGTTCAGCTCCCAACAATCTCAAAAAATCAGACTCAACTTGATGATTCATTAAGAATCTCACCAATCGACCCAAGAACATTAACCAGCTTTAAAAGTTCAACCCCATCAAATAAATCCGAGCTAAAATCGGCGATAAACTTAGAAAACAAGCTTTTATCCCCGAAAAAAAGCACAATGAGTAACGACGAGTTATACGCGGTGATTCACAAAAGCAAAAAGAAATTAAACATAGAATCACCCCAAACGAACTCGATTGAAAATCAAACTCAAAATGTGTCGGTCCAAATTGAAAAAGTTCAACCCCCCGAAACCGGTTATTTCGACAAATCCAAATCGAGATTGAACGAATATAATTTATCGCCTAAAAATGAACCTAGATCTCGCCACAGTTGGGCTATCACCGATAAAAAAACATCTCAAGCTGCGCGTTTAGATTTTAAACGATTATTACTACAACATTGTCGCCCGAATTTACCCCCCGCTTCCACCAAATTATCAGCCGTTGAGCAATTAAAACTTTCAAAACCCCAAATACAACCGAAACCGAATCAAAACGAGGATGAAGAAAAAATTAATATTTTAGATTTGAGTCGATCGCCGAGGAGTGTTAACAGAAAAACTCCCGAAAAAAATAGACAACCCTCGAAGATTCTTTCACCGCGTTCGCAATGGAGATTTGCAAGTCCGAGATCGGACGTTTTATCCTCAACGATTTTGGAGGATCATCGCGAAGATGATAGCCCGAATAATTCGGCGGAACGAAAAAAATGTTTCGTTGAAAACAATAATGTCGAGAAATTAAGTATTAGTGAAAAAATGCAAGCGAAACGAGCTCAGTTTTTTAATTCTTCTGACAATACGATAAGGAAAACCCCCGAAAAACCTTTACTGCCTACTTTAGAAACAGCTTTTTAAATAAATAAGAGAAATAAAAGGATTTATTTTGTACATTACTATTTTCTAGTCGATTTAAAAAAAAAAAATAGATTTAGTTTCTTTCTTTCTTTCATACTTTTATAGAAATCAAGAAACAAGTAGAGTACAAGGAGTGGCAAAAATGAAAAGAAAACTGGTTGTAAGATATCTAAAGATGCCTTAAATAAGCTAAGAATAACTATTAAATTAAATTAAATTAAATTAAAATAAATTATCGAAGGAGTAATATATGAACGATATTATTATATCTATTTTGCAGAGGATTCATTAACTTATTTAATAAATTGTTAATGAAAACGCTGTATTTATTGATTCGTATTGTATATAGAGTATTTATTTAAATCGGATTATAAAAAATTAAAATTTTTAAGATGGGAAGAAATTATAATTGGATTTTGGATTACGAGACGTGAATTGAGTTGTTTTTAGATGCCAATAAAAAGTACAAAAACATCGAAATCTAGCTTTTTTTTTATTACACCTTATCTCCTAAACTTTGCATTCAATTCTTATCGAATTTTTGTTTTAAGAAATTTTAAGCGTGTAATATTCGAGATTAAATTAAAAAGAAATAATGAACAATGTAATATCATACATATTGTTAGTCTAAGTATTAAATTTTACTTAGAAAAACTTTTTTCCTCTAACACGTCGCGCCTTAATTGTAGTTAGATAAAAATATTAAGGCGCGACGTCCAGTCTAGAACACACACCAGCACCATTTTTTCCGATTGGACAGAACTACAGATATAAGTTACATCTGTACGTTGCAATAACTCATTTTAATTACAAAATTGCAAATTTACACATATTTCTTGGCTTCTTGGCAAATGAGTGCATGAGAAGCTTTAATGAAGCTCTGTTAGAGTCCGTAAAACTGCCGTCTGGCCACTTAAGCGCGATGTAGTTACTTTAATACCTTACTTTAATCATTGCTATAAGATACTTAAAATATTTGTTTAAAATTTGAGATTTTGCATAAGCAATAAGGCATAAGCTCAAAATCTGTTGAGTATTGGTTATAAGGTTGTTCAAGTCGAACAAATTGACGTTCACGGGGTGAAGTCTTTGAAGTAAAAGTATAATATAATATACAGGTGCCCATTATGTATGGAATATAGTATACAGGTGTCCGGTATCTTCCGCATCACAGCATTATACGGTTGTAGTTCTGAAGCGACCTTTCTAACAAAATTTTTTCGAAATGTTTATAATAACCGCACGAGAACATTCGGGTTCACCGTCTTTACAATTAGAGACGTGCAGCTAAAACTGAATGATTCTAGTTCTAGATCTAATGTTAGTTTTATATTTCAGTAAAAATAGACAACAATTTAACGCTTCAACATTGTGATATCTAGCAACATTATGTTTCTCATTTTAATGGTTTCTTTAAATAAACAATACATCATGAAAGAACACCATGAAGTTGTCCATTTGTCTATTATAAAGGGTTTTCCAATAAGAGGTGTTATTTTGAATAGCCCGTTATTTCGGTAGATGTCACTTTTGAAGCTGTCATTTTTTGAAATTTGACAAGTAGAAAGTACGCCATTAATAAAAATGGAAGGATACACGTTTCAACAACGCATTGAAATTATTAAAATTCACTATAAAAATGGTGAAATTTTGGCAGAGACGGTTCGTAAAACTCGAACATTTTTGGGTCATCGTGAAGCACCTTGTCGGACCGCAATACAGAAATTGGTGGAAAAATTCGAGCTGTTGGGACAAGTTAGTGATGTGAAGACTAAAACCCGTGCACGTCGCTCAAGAACAGCCGAGAATATTGCTGCTGTAGCCGAAAGTGTTGAAGAAAACCCAGGTTTGTCCATTCCTCGTCGTTCTTTGGAATTAGGCATTCCACAAACGTCATTACACCGTATTTTGCATAAAGATTTGGGTCTTAAGGCTTATAAACTTCAGTTAACACAAGAACTCAAGCCGTCCGATCATCAACAACGTCGTGTCTTTGCTGATTGGGTCGTTGAAATGCATGAAAATGATCCGGAATTCCATCGAAAAATCATCTTGAGTGATGAGGCCCATTTCCACCTCGGTGGCTTCGTCAACAAGCAAAATTGTCGCATCTGGGGCTCGGAAAACCCAAGAGTTATTGTTGAAAAGCCTCTCTATCCTCAACGTGTGACTGTTTGGTGCGGTTTATGGTCCGGCGGAGTCATTGGACCTTACTTTTTCGAAAATGAGGCTGGAGCAACAGTTACGGTGAATGGATTGCGCTATCGAGAGATGATGAATGATTTTTTATGGCCGGAATTGGATGGTATTGATGTGGACAACGTTTACTTTCAACAAGACGGTGCTAC